AAGCAAGAACCCATCAGAATTCAACACAAAATATGAGGCACATTATTACATATCTTCATATGCCCTTGCATTGGGTACATATGGAATAATTATTCTTGTCACTAGTATAATCCCTATAGAAAATTCAGCAGTGTCTTCATTTATTACATTTTATAAACCTTGCAAATGGCTGTCTCCATATACTGCATCTTAGCTTGTGATCATCTTATACTTGTTCCGTGTGTACTGCAGTGTAGTAGAGGTATAATTCATTGTTTCAGTAGAATGAAGAAGGTAGCAAATACCATATGGAGAAACTGCGACAGTATCAACTGAATCGTCTCAAGTACTACTATGCTATATTAGTATGTGATTCTGCAGCAACAGCCAACAAGATTTATACTGAATGTGATGGCTTGGAATATGAAAGTAGTGCAACACGCCTTGACCTGCGGTTTGTTCCTGATGGCACAAAATTTGAGGAGGTGAGCTGTTTGCTGTTGTTCAGGAAACTATAAGAAGAATTCATTAGCAATCAAATTTACAGCTTATATTGCAGTCTAAGCTGTTTGAAATAAAAATCTGTTACATGGTTTTGGATTTAAATTGTTGGTAAATTTTACATATCTGGTAATAGCAGACTAGCATCTGTATAATATTTTTATACTAATAATTTTTGAAGCAAAAGGAGTACTGGTATGTAAAAACTGGAATATTCTTTTGGCAGGAACCTCGGGAAGTTTGTAATAAGCTTCCTGATCTTTCAAAGTACCAACCTCGGTACTTCACAACAACTGCTCTGCAGCAAGCCAAAGTGGAACTGACATGGGATGAAACAAATCCTGAGAGAAATGAAATCAACCAGAAACTGATGTCTGGTCAAGTTGATGGTATAACCGAAACGGATTTGCGGGATTACCTGGCATCTTCTAGCGGAGAGGAGAGTGATGGTAATATATGGCTTTGTCTTCCACTCATTCAATTTCAGTTTATTTTTGTGGACTGTGTTTAAAATTAAAAAATTGTCACTATCATTTTTGATGGTGCACTGGAAGCATGTCAAAACAGCTTATAGGTGTTCAGTAAATCCAGTTACCAATCCATACTCTGTG